GATGTCCACCATGAGGACCATCCTGTAAGCAAAATGAGTGGTTTCTCTTGGTAATGTTCTTGAGAATTATGTGATCTCAGAACTTCTCTAGTATGAAGAGATCTTCTCCACAAGATATTTACACAGAAATTACACATAATTTTTCACAAGAATAAGAAAGGTGAGACCTAAAAGTAAAGAAAACTTCAAACAGTACACTAAAGAAAGCTTTATGCACCATTATTATTATTTGTTTTTTGAGACAAGGTCTCTCCATGTAGTTCAGGTTGGTCTTGAACTCACTATGAGGCCAGGGTGGCCTCAAACCCATGGCAATCCTCCTGCCTCCACCTCCTGAGTGCTAGGACTACAGGCATGCGTTACCACACCTGGCTTTTTTGCACCATCTTAAAAGTAAAGTGAAAGCAGAAAATGGATCACATGGTAAGGACTCTTCTCCATTTCACTTTCTAATTATTTTAGAAGCCAGGGAAACATTACAGATGGTACTATTTATTTACCTAAGCAGAGATGATAGTTCACAGGCTTAGCAAGACCTGAGGATAACAAGGCTGTTATATAAAGATAAATTGTCTTTGCTTTATGTAAACATCTCCAAAGTCCCAAAATAATATTCAACTCCACAAGTTTTTGAATACCCTAACTATAACTAGCACTGTGTCAGGCACTGGAGAGAAAGACAAAAAAGAAGGCAGATTTCTGAGGAACTCTAATGTAAAGACACAAGATTTACTTTAAAAGAACAAGAGCAAAGACAACTAGAAAATGATCCCAAGACAGGATAACCATATTGGTAGGTGGCTTGCAGGAGTACAGCGAGTAAGATAGAAAAGGATATGGGTATAATGAAACAATTGATTAAAAAGCCTTGAATGTCACACCAAAACTTTTCCATTTAAATCCTTTGAAGACTATTTCACCTGAATCCCACAAATCAAAAATAATGTGTGGGTTCATTCATGATGCAGGCCTTGAATCACCTTGAATTATTACTAGTTATAATTAATACTATTCTTGATCTATCAGCCTTAATATAGGTAAAGTCAAATCTGCATATATTAATGGCCTATTTAGTTATATGAAAAGATATTTTTTTGAATTGTTAAGGTTAACTTCTACAATACCTTCTCAAATAATTAGAGATACCTTCCAAACATCCCCAACAATCCTGAATAAATTCTTAACAACCTACTTATGGTTGAAGCTATCGCTTGGGAAAATGAGTTGAATGAGACATTACCTTCATTTGTTTCCCTACCAAAGTAATTTTCCAAGGACTAAAAGATATCTAATACTTAACTAGGCTTGGTGGAGCACATCTGTAATCCCATGTCTCTAAAACATTTTAAAAAGGGTGTACAGGTACAAACACCCAGTGATAAATGTAAATGAATTGTATACCTAAAATGTACCAATAAAAGAACTTAGAAAGAAAAATAAATAAATTAAAAGGGGGTTAGGGTTAATAGCTCACACAAAGGCCCTGGGTTTAATCCCCAGTACCACAAAAGAAAAAAAATCTAATACTTAACATTGTGCCTAACACAGCAGACTTTTCACTTATTGAATTGGATTATTAAATTACACCAACACATTAGGCATACTCATCTCTCTCATGGTTTGGAAGATTTTGATCATATTTCTTAAAATCTCCACATGGAAAAAACTAGAAAATCCCTCCATCCTTTCAATCAATTTAATTGAGTTTCTGGGGACTTTTATCAGCTCTTAGATTTTTCTTGAGAAGCAGTCACCAGAATTTTCTGTCCGATTGTAAGTGAAAATCTACTTTTGATCTTTTACATAAAAAAGATAAGTTTTTTTTTAAATCGTTGTTACTGACGCTCTTCCTGAGGCTACCTGCCATGTTCTTGACCCTTGAGACGCACAATCACAGCTGGATCAATTTCTCCATAGAATGAGTCACAGTGATTTTTAATTTTATTTTACACATTGTTTATTGTCAAATTCAGAAACTGTTTATTGACAAATTCAGATGTCTATAGCCCTTAAGAGCATTTCCACCACGCATCCAGATAAATCTATCACTACTGAGATACTCCAGTTGAAGACAGTTGTGATTCCAAAAAGTCTGATGTGACTCTTTATCATCAGTAATTGTGTTCCCACTTGCAAGACTTTTCTAACATTTCCCTTGCAGAACTTTACTGACCTTATCATTTTGTCTATTCATTGATCTAACTTCCTTCTGTATCCTGTTTTTAAAATTTTTAATATTGAGGTATGTTACACATACATCTAACAGTGATTTCTAAGTCCCTTTCTTGAATCATAACTAAGAGCCCAATCCCATCATCTCATAAGTGTGGATAGGTTTACTTTTGCCTAACTGAATGACTTTACACAATGAAGTGACTCTGCCTGCTCTGCTTACTATGTCTCATCAGATTTTCCTGCAATTTATTCTCATCAACTTGCCTTTACTCCTTGCAGATAAAACTAGTGAGCAACCTGAATGTATTGTCCATTGGAAGGTGCATATTTTTATCTTTCTTCCTCTCCATTCAAGGGTTACTGTAACAGCAGCTGTCTGTGTTGAAAAACTAAAATAATAAAATATGACCTACGTGGCCAAATTCCACAAGGTTGCTTACTTCCTTATTTATGAATCAAAATCTGCCTGCACAACTTAGAATTTTGCCTCTCAGCAAATACTGCAATTAAATGTCCCTGCAAAGCCAGCAGAGGGTGCACCAGGGCACTAGAAATTTTACCCAAGATGTAGCAGTATTAATTTAATTCTAATAGCCAATCAACTTTTTCTTTATTTACTTATTCAGTACAGTACTTATTTATTGTATACCAAAACTAGTATCTTCAACAGAAGCTTAAGCTGAATCTTGGCTAAAATTCTTTGAGAGTGTACTGCAAGTCTTCTGAAAGTGGAGTTCAGGATGAATAAGGAATACAGGGTTACATTTCGGTAGATAACAAAGGTAGAAAATATAGGTAGAATAGAACAAAATGACATAGATCTGTAAAAGTTCTACTATACAGTTCTACTCTGTCCCCTCCTCTCCAAGAAAAAAGCCTCAATAGGTAGTATGCTATAGGGGAATGGACACTGAGCTAGGAGTTAAAAGAACAATTCCATCCTAGTTTCAACTGTTACCTTGGGCAAGTCACTTCTACTACATTCATGCATTTTCCAAGGAAATCAAACAAAATGGACTCAGATAACCCCTTACAATTCTTTAAAAAAAAAAAAAACTCATATCCAAAGTTGAAGCCAACAAATGTATAGAGCCAGTATTTGTGCTTCTGCTGCTCAAAAAGACTAAAACAAAGAATAAAGAATAAAAGATAGGAAGGTGTGTCTAAACCTAAACAGAAGTATTTTAGTGCTACAAAAAGGGCAGGTGACTGCAGGCCTTTACCGACCTGTGAGAGTCCCATACCATCACAGAAGTCCTAGAGTACAGCTGTCCTGCTAATCCTCAGTCTATAAACATGTCTCTGTCCATTCTGAATGCCATCATTTGATTAAAGAAATTGAATTCCTTCATCCTTTCACAAAGTACCAATATTCAGCTGTTAAGTATTTCTACTGGGCATGTGGACGTAAATAAATAAGGAAACCAAAATCATAGTTAATTATCATTTAGCTACAGTGTTTAAAGTTTCAAGTATGAGAAACATGTCTGCTGATTCTCTTCTTTGATAAGCTATTATATAAACTGGAGTGTGCTAGCAAGACATTTTAAGGCTCAAGGCAACTTTATAATGCACATTGTAAAAAAGAAAAGTATCAGTCCTAACATTACAGCATTATCCATGAATGTAATGCCTTTATCAAGTATATAACTTTGGATAGTCATACTTTGGAGGTCACATTAGCACAAATAAAGTTCAAAGATCTGTGACAATGACTCTGGATGTGGCAATAAATATAAAAAGATTTAGGTTCCTCACCTCAAGGTACTTACTTGCACAACTCCCCCTCTTCTCTAAGAGGTATAAACTCATTATTATTCTCCTTCAACCACCTCAAAAGGTTCTTTGGATGCTTCTAAGTTTCATATTTATGACAAAATATGGCAATCAGGTCAAAATTTTTGCTAAGTACACGAAATTTAATTGAATAAAGAGAACGAAAAAGTAGAAAACAAACACCAAAGCAAATGGTTTGCTAATAAGGGTACAAACATCCCTTAGATTGCAAAAAAAAACTGCTCTTGAGACTGTTCCTGAGTACTTATTTCATTGATAAGAGTGCGGTTCTTCAGCTAGCACTAAAGAAAACATTTCACACCTCACCACGGAATACCCTCCAGTAGAACCGACGTGCCCAGGGTTTTATATCCATAGATTTTTAAAAGTGCTCTTAAGAAGTTGTCTAGCAAGACAGCATATTTCTATACCAGAATTCCTCAGGGGCGCTGATCTTCACTAGAACACAAGGACAATCCGTCTGAAATTGCAGGTAAGTGTGAACAAGCCTATGTTGTAGTCAGCGTTCAAGGGCCCCGTGCTGAAAATACGGTTAAAAGTTGTTTGAACGGGCTTGGAGCAGTTATTATAGCTGTTTACAGCTCCGACTCCAAAGGAGAGCCTGCTAGTGCTGGCATCAGCTCTGGACACGAAAAAACAAGCACCGCGGGCAGAGAACCTCAGCAGGAGCAGAGGGGCCAAACTGCTCGCCGTTAGTCTTCCAGGGGGGCAGCGCGGGCACCTCCTCGCCGGGCCTGGGCGGGAGCGTCGCCAACTTTTCCCGAGGCACCATACAGCCAAGGGTGGCGGGAGTAGGCTAGAGTTTCCAAGTCAAGCAGACCTGAGAGAGTCTGGGCGAGCTGAGCCAAGGACTGAGGACAACCTGCCCTGGACTACCTCCCCCTGCTTGCTCGCCCCCTCCCTGGCCGGGCGTCCAAACTTGGCTCCAGCTGGCAGAGAAGCCCCGGGCCCTAAAGTGAAGGGCCCCCGCCCTGCCCACCAGGGGAGGGGGCCTCTGCCGCCGGTGCCACCCCCACTAGGTGACTCACCTGGTGCAGGTCCTGGGAGTCAGGGGGGAGTGTAGTTTCTCCTCGTTCCAATGGCTGCTGCTGCGGCGACGGCTGCCCGATGTGGAGGGTGATGGGACCGTCAGATTCGAGGCCACCGGGGTTGCTCAGGGTGCCAGAGGTACCATGAGTGCCCGGGCCACCAAGGCGGGACTCGGCTCCCCGTTCCCGCCGCAACTCGGACCGCAACTCTAAGTAGCAGCACAAGGTCAGCAGGTGGAGGGCCAGTGAGAGGCCAAAGAAACCCAGGAAGAGCCGGCAGCTGTTCGCTTCGCCAGCCCGGGCAGGGGCCCCGCGACAGCCGCAGCCCTGGCTCCCTCTCTCCCCTGGCGCTGCTGCAGGCAGGGATTCCCTGCGCTCTACCTCTGGGTACCCCATGGCCTCTGGAGACACACACTCTCTGAGGCCCCGGAGCCGCTGCGTCTGCCTCAGCCGTTCGCGACCCCTGACAGGCGGCTACTGTCCTGCCATCGGCTGGGGGCTGCAGGGACCCGTTCCTGCGCGACGGTGGCTGGGCGGGACAGAACAGGGAGCAGCCGCATGTGCAGCTCCACTCCGAGGGGTGGGACAAGGAGAAGGAGGGGCAGGAGAGAGAGGGGCGGCTCGGCCCGCGAGGGAATGAGGGAGGAGGCCCCGACCGACCCCGCCCCATCCCTCAAGGGGCTGCAGGGACGCCCAACCACTGGGCCGCTGAGCCTCGGCGCCCCGCCCCCTACCGTTCCGCCCGGGCCTCCCGCCGCGGGGCGGGGCCTAGGGGCGTGAGGGTTCGCCTCTGCCTGGCAGCCCCACCCAGCTCTTCCCGTTTGCCCAGTTCTAGTTGGTGTCTGCCGGTGTCGTTCATCTCCGGACTCCGCCCCAATTTAACCCTCCATTGCCAGTACGGGGGAGGGAAGGAGGGGGAAGCTAAGAATTTAGGAACCTTGGAAAGAAAGTGGAGCAAAGAAAAGGAGGCAGAAACTAGCATTAATAGAAATGTTTGCAATTAACAGCAGTTGTTAATAACATCATCCAGTACTTATCTTTTGCTTTCAATCTTCAAAGCGTTTAGCAGACGTTAAACTAATTAAAACAGTTCTGGGTTTGGAATGAAACCATGCCTGCTGTGTTTGCAATCCAATGGCTCGACAAAAGAAAGGAAGACCTAGAAGCCTGGGAGCCAAGAGGACTGGGAATCAGGCAGCCTCAGTCCCGGAGTGAGTCTGGGGGCACAATGGAGGAGGCAACTAGTGCCAAGTGGAACTGAAGTGATGCCCCTTGAAAGTAAACAGTCTTCTAGGGTTTTTTGATATATTAATTAATTCAGCAGATATGTATTGATCCCTTTTACAATGCAGAAAGTGCTGTATAAGAAAGTCGAATAGTTTGTCTTCCTCCACTGACCCAGGGGTTTTGGGTGGAGAGTGTGTTCCTTCCAGTAGCAAATGAGAAAACGGAGGGCCACCATGAGGTGAAGTTTTACAAGGGTGCTTCACGGAATGGCCAGAGACTATTGGCATCTCTGTTCGCAGGCAACTGTTCTGGCCTCTCTACCCCTCCCATCCTTCCCCTGGAATACTCCCTAGGGGAAGTTCAACAAGTCAGCCAAATGTTCCAGATGTACACTGCTGCAACTGCAGCAACTTCAACAGCTGCACCAATCAGAAACGAGTTCAGGGCAAAAAAAATGAGTGGCAAATGTCAGAACAATAGACCCTAAAATGAAGGATGGAAAGAACTAGTTAAGTTGAGTCACAATTGACTAGAGTTAGTCGTCTCACACTGTAGAGAGCAAAATAACTGTAGCAGGAGGAAACATGCACCTTTTTTAGCCATCACAACTCTCATTCCCCTGTTTGGGGGAAATAAATAATTAACATTTTTATTGACTTGAAGCAGGCATTTTGAGTGCCACCAAGGAGGCTCAGCCATACCTTGGAATACTTATAGGCAGGCCTAAGCCTGGGGCTGGTGAGAGACAAGAAAAAGACCAGGAAAATAGAAAAAAAGACAAAAGAAGATAAGTAAAACAAAACTAAAATCCTATGGTAGGGAGGTCAGTCCAGAAAGCACACAGGTTGAGAGCCTTAAATATATTGGCCACAGGCAACTTTTCTTCCATACCCTTTGGGAATTGTCTTAGTGCTTCAAAAAGATACTTTTGTCCTCTCTTTAACCTTTACTCATGACATCAAAAAATTGCGAAGAATATTGTCATTATACAGATGAGAAGAGGTCTTTTAACAGCTGCTGTCAAGTCCTGCTTGTCTAGACCAGGAATTCTAGATGCTAGAAAAACTGTGAGGCTGATTTACTTAATTATCACACCCCAGTATTATTGGAAAGAATGCTAGACCAGGAGTCAGAAGACCTAACTCTGCTGCTAGTTTACTGGATCCCTCTGAGCAAGTCACCCTTCTCTCCTTTCTCTCTCTTTCTCTCTCATTCTTTCTTTCTTTCTTTCTTTCTTTCTTTCTTTCTTTCTTTCTTTCTTTCTTTCTTTCTTTCTTTTTCTTTCATACTGGAGATTAGACTCAAGACCTTTATACTGAGCTAAATCCCTAGTTGCCTCTTTTTAAAAAGTTTGTTTTGAGACAGGGTCTTGCTAAGTTGTCCAGGCTGGGCTTGAACTTGCAATCCTCCTGCTTCAGCCTCTCAAAGTACCAGGGTACACTACCACACCCAACTAAGTCACCACACTTGGGAGGGGGTGGCTTAGTTTCTTCAACTGTAAGATGAAGAGTTTGAACTGTAACAGCTATTACATCTGTGTTTTATCTGTCTCATCACTGGCTATGTTGACTTCATTGCATGCACAGTTTAAAGAGGCTGCCCCTTGTTTCTCTAAAATGAAAAAGGAATGAATGACAGCCATCACTTTGGAGGTGGTGGTGCTGATGCCCAGGGGCCATAATGATCTCAGGTTTGTTTGTAGTTGTCAGGCTTTTAACAGCTTAATGGAGACTCTGGGTTGCACTGTTGTCCTCTGGAGCCTTGGGAATTGCATTTGATCCAGGACTTCATTTTTGTTCCCCAGAGGAAATATGCACATATATGGTAGAGCTGCAGCAATGTAGTCCGGTATGGAATGTATGTGTTCATCCGCATCCCACCCCACCCCCACACCAGGCTGAGGATAGACCCGGGGGCAAGCACTCTATCACTGAGCTCCACCCACCAGCCTGTGATTATTCTTTTAAGTGTTTAAATGTTTCGAAGTGTTGCTTCAGTTACCTTCTGAGTTTCTATAAATGCCCTATCCTCTATAGCACTGATCTCAAAACTAGCCTGCAGGCCACATTCAGAAAACAGGTGTGTATGATGTGGTATTTGCTAAAACTTTGAATTTTAAAAATGAATTGCATTTAGAAATTTGAAGATTTCACATTTTAAATAACGTAGATTTTCTACTTTTCTACTAAAAAAAAGAAAACCTGTTAACACTGAATCCACATTCTCATATATTCAGTTAAAACTGCCCCCTTGAGATAAGCATGAACAATCTGTTCTGTGCAGCTATTCTCACTTCTTTCCTCTGGTCTCCAGTACTGTCCCTGTCACCTTACCTGTCTGACCCCCAGTAGTACAGCAGACAAGATATCAGCTCCTTAGCATGACTTATAAGCTGCCTCCCCAACATTATCTTCCACTATCCTACAAAAAAGCCATGCTCCCACACTACTAAATTTGCCAACACTTCTAATACTTCAGTGCATTTGCACAAGCTAGTCTTTGCCAGAAATGCTCCCACCTCAAAAATTCTTTAAGAATCAATCACATATTCTCTTCGGTGTGACCCTACAACTCACTCCAACCAGATTTTCCTTTGTGCTTTCATTGTACCCTGAATATAGCTCAGTGATACCACTTATACTATATTTGGAATGTTTACTTTGCTTTTCTCACTACTAAACTGAATTGCTTGATGATAAAAACCATGCTTTGCCATTTTGGTATTCCCAATGAAAATTAGCATAGCACCTACTATATAGGAGGCACCAGAACTGTTTGTCAAATGACTAGGGCATGAAGTCAGCCACAGTAACCTGGACTACCTAGAATTCCAAAAAAGGAATTGGGCCAAGAGATGCCTGTCAATACCACTTAGGAAACACTTCCTGGATACAGACCAATGTAATACATTATGGAAAGATACAAAGGAAATAGAACAAAATGATGATTGTGAAATTGCTCTTTTATTTGTGTTACTGTGGGAGTTGCAGATAATTCAGAAAAGTAAATAATACAGAAATTCAAATACAATTGATTTGTAGCACCTCATTTGGCTTTTTATTCCCATCAAGTTTCCTTTTGTTTGTCTGAGTCTAATATTAAAATAATATTAGAGGCTGGGATGTAGCTCACTAGTAGAAGGTTTGCTTTGCATCCATAAGGCCCTCTTTTCAATTCCCAGTACCACTCCAAATAATAATAATATTATTATGTGAAAATCTCAGAGTAATAAATATTCAAAATAAGTTGACAAGCTAGGCATGTTACCACATGCTTGTAGTCCCAGCTATTTTGAGATGGAAGGATATCATGAGTTCATGAGTTTGGAACCAGCCTGGGCAAAATAGTGAGACCCTGTTTTAAAAAATAAAAAAGGTAACAATCCTTGAATATTCATCAAAAGAATGGAATATGCAAAGGAGTTTGGCAGGGACTGGTATTAAATACCTCTTAGCTATGGTTAATACACACAATAAATAATTGACAAAGAGATTAGAAAGGTGGCTCTCTGACCCACTTAGTGATAAGCCGAGAGTTGGTGGGGAGAGGAGGAATATGGACCTCTGAATGTAGATCCAGGTTTAAATCTGTTTATTCACTTACCAGCTATATGACTTAAGACAAATCATTTTTTCTTGTCTTGCAGAGCCTCAGTTTTCTCGTCTGTAAAATGGACATGATAATATATACTTTGTAAAATAGCTGGGCTTACATGGGCTGTGCAACAGAAGGAACACTTTCAACTCTACTCCTTTAGGGCTCTCAATAATTGAGTCTCTGAAATAAAATGACAACAGACAGATTAACTGAAAAAAAGTATACAAATTTATTTACTATGTGCATAGAAGCATCACATCAAAGAAAAGTTAATACCTCCCAAACTCAGTGACATCTAGGAACTTATCTACCCTCTTCATTGGAAACGGGGAGGGGGATGTAAACAACTAAGGGGAGAGTAAATGATTTTTTGGAAAGATGGACAGACCCTGAGTGACAGACTGCAACAAAGGCTATCTGACTGTGGTGTTGAGATCTGGTATCTCCTGTGATAAGAGTTTAATCTTCCCTGATTGGTATGATTCCTAAGGAGAAGACTTGGGACAATTGAGTTCCTCTTGCAGGATGTGTCTTTCAGCAGATATGAGAAGTTCAGAGAAAGCTCTATTTTGCATTTGCTGTTCCCCAAATGCCTTTGGTTTGAAGTTCAAAGCAGCATGTTTTGAGGTGGAATTTTCTGAGCTCCTTCAGATGCTATATCAAAGTGTTTGGCACATAAGTGCCCTGAAAATGTTAGGCTCTACTATGTAGCAGACTTCCATCCAAGGGGGTTGAAAGTAAAAACATACAGTAATATTCAAGAAATGTGGAAGAATATCTACATATTTTGTCAACAGATGCCTGCTCTTATTTTACATTTTTAAATTTTTCCTTTTATTAGCACACT